TAGGTAGGGTGTGGTGGGTTGGGGGTGTTAAGGTGAGGGTAGGTAGACGTGGATAGGGTGAGAGTGAGTGTTTGTATTTTAAAATTTTTTTGAAATTAGAAAAATGTAGAAAACAATGATTATCGGTTTTCCAAAAATTTCCAACTTCTTTGTAATTTTAGAAAATTAAATTTTTTTCATTTTCCATGAAAAATTTAAAAAAATATACGAACTATACACGTTTTCATAATTCTCATTTTTCTTGGAAAATTTTTGCGGAAAACAGTGCATTTTTCCGCAACTAAACGTACCCTAAGCTACTCTAGAAGCTAATGAGAATGTGGACATGGGCTCTTGGTTCGCATCTTAGCCACATTAAAGGGGTTGCTTTTAGACTGCTATAATAAAAATTATTACATCCAAACTTGTTAATAAAAATTACACATCGAGTCAAAATATCACATCCAGTCAATAATAGGAGTGGTTCACAAGGTGATGTAAATTTGGAAGGAAATTTTGTTTCTCGGTTTTCAAAATGTAAATTCTAATGTAGTCTTGTTGCATACTGCTAATTGGGGTGGATGTCGTCTACTCATCCTGTTCTAGTCACTAGTACAAAATGTATTTTTAATGCGATGAGGTTTTTTTCTGTTGGTGTGGTCGTAGCCTAAAACCGCACCATTAAAACACTTTCGCGTCAATAAGTCAAGAAACCGCACTAATAAATGCATTTTTTATGCTGTTTTCTTTAAACACACTAATAAATGCATTTTTTTATGCTATTTTTCAAAATCACAGTAATAAATGTACTTTTTGATGCAGTTTTCCAAAACCACATTAATAATAAATGTATTTTTTGAAGCGGTTTTCTTAAAACGTACTAATAAATGCATTTTTTAATGCTAATTTTCAAAATAACACTAACAAATGTATTTTTTGATGCCCTTTTCCAAAACTACAATAATAACAAATGCATTTTTTGATGTGGTTTTGGATTGAATTCTGTCCTCAAATTTTGTTCCCGGGCCGAAACTCCTTCCAAAAGTTCATTCCCCGCGCAATGCCTTTATCTTCCCTTATATATTTCCTTAATCTAATTTTATTTGGCCACACAAACCCTAATATCATCGACTACTCTCGCACTCACCAACATCCTTGAGTCCTATCGCTCGAGTCCGCATCATCGTCGATTCCGGCTGCCACAGCCTCCATCATCTTTGATTTTGGTCGACCCTATTCTTATCGCTGTTGATTTACAACTTCAGGTCAGCAGCATGATGAATCTGAAAAATCATTGAGGAGTCGACCTGCACAATAATCATCTTTGTCCATCGCAATCAACACATCGTTAAGACTGTGAGGTATGGTTATGATATTATGATTTATAATTTTGATTCATAATATTACTTAATCTATGTGTCTAATACTCTGATTTCTTAAGTTAGGTTGTGGAAAAAAGAAGGGTTGGACAAAGAAGCTTGTGACGTTCAAAGGAGAGCACATATGTATGCAGGGGAAGATATAAAGGTAGATAAAACCTAAAAAAAGAAACACTCTTATGTTGTTTTATCTACCAAAATTGAATTAAGGCAAGTTTTTTTCCTTTATATTGATAATCTTTATAACTTGTGTAATTTAACTTTTGATTAGATGGATTGTATACATTTTGATAAAATTATTTTGTAATTTAGCTTCTGAATTCCTATCGAAACGAGGTAACGGATTCAAAGGTGGGCATCATCTCTGAAAGTCTGCATGATACCGAAGAAGAGCCATATGAAGATGGTGATGATGAAATTGAACACGTATATATCAAAAAACTTGTATATGCTTCTGTAGTTACCTTCCTAAACAACTTACATATCTGTAGTTATTATATCAAATTGTAAACAGATACAAGGATGAAAAGGTTAGAAAAGAATGGTATTTTTATTAAGATAATTTGAATCTCTTGTATGGTTTGTGCCTTTACATGTTTTATGATTTTTTGTTGTTTTGTTTTCGTATTGTAAATCAAGCTGATTATCTTTGTAATGGTGGTCATCTTGAGTTTATTTATTTATTTATTTTTTTATATTTATTTTTATTATTTAATGGAACGGTTCTAGCTTTTAATAGTGCGGTTGTACTCTCTTTTTAATGGAAAAGCATTTGTTTTTTTTGGTGCGGATGTTCTATCTTTTGGGGCGGTTTTATAACCGCATTAGTAAATATAAGTATTTTTTGAGGCGGTTCAATAACCTCATCTATTAATCATTTTAACCATATCAAAAAAATCTTTCTGTGCTAGTGAGTGGTCGCCTGATAAAGCAACAATTATGTATTGTTTGATAATATTAGTGGTCGCCTGACAAAGCAACAATTGTGTATTGTCATACATATTTATAAAGCTAACATTTTTTCTTGAATCTCATTCATTTGAAACCCTCATTCTTTTTTCTTTCACCACATTCATTTGAAACTTCCATGATTTTTCAATTTCTTTATAATAATAAGTATAATTTGGTAATTTAACTAAATTTCAATATTAAAATAATATCTTTAATTCTACTTATAAAATTATTTTTTTTAACTTTTAAGATATTATACTTAATTTATTACTTTTAATATATTGTTGGATATAAACCATTATCATTTTAAAGTTATAATTTTTGAACAATTTGTATAAAATACTTAAATTATTAATTAAAATATAACATTATAGGCTCAACTTAAATATAAATTTTATTTAACTTAAACAACCCAAAGATTATTTTATAAATAGTTAAAAGTGATAAATTGTATTGTCTTTCTAATAATGATTGTGAGTTGGTTAATAAGGTTAAATAAATATCAAACATAAAGTGTAATCATAAACAGACTAAATTTCAATCTTAAAATAATATCTGTACTTCTATTTATTAAGTTATATCTTTACATTTGAAACCCCTATTTTTTTTCCTTTCACCACATTCATTTGAAAATCCATCACTTTTCAATTTTTTTATAATAATAATTATAATTTGGTAATTAAGTTAAATAAATATTCGAAAGTGTAATCATATATAAACTAAATTTTAATAATTTCTTTAATTTTACTTATAAAATTATGTTTTTTAACTTTTAACATATTATACTTAATTTATTAGTTTTAATATATTGTTGGATGTAAACCATTATCTTTTTAAAGATATAATTTTTCAACAATTTGTATAAAATACTTAAATTACTAATTAAAATATAACATTATAGGCTCAACTTAAATATAAATTTTATTTAACTTAAACAACCCAAAGATTATTTTATATATAGTTAAAAGTGATAAATTGTAGTGTTTTTCTAATAATAATTGTAAGTTGGTTAATAAGGTTAAATAAATATCAAACCTAAAGTATAATCATAAATAGACTAAATTTCAATTCTAAAATAATATCTTTACTTTTATTTATAAAGTTATGTCTTTAAATCTTAACATATTATACTTAATTTATTAGATTTAAAATGTTGTTACATGTAAACCATTATCAGTTTAAAGCTACAACTTTTGAATAGTTTGGACAAAATACTTAAATTGTTAATTTAAATATAACATTACTGTATCAACTTAAATATAAATTTCAGTTCCACTAAAAAAACCAAATAATACTTTGAAAATACTTAAAAGTGATAAATTATAGTGATAAATGCACAAACTAAATTGTAATATCAGTTTAACTAACATATTTCTTAAATATATTTTTATAATCGTTAAAAGTTTCCAAATAAGTAGCTTAAAATAACTTACAATAACAATAATTAAAAACAACTATATATAAAAGATTATATTATTACCTTAAAAATCAAAAAATAACGTGTGATGTTTTAAATAATTATATTGATAGAAATTAAAACATTAAGCAAATTAATTTTAAAATTTTTTTTAACAATAAAACAACTATAAATAACATCAAATATTATATAATATTTAATTTTATTCATGTGTAACTCGCGGGTAGAAGTCATTCAAACGATTGAGATTATGAAGTTATAATAAATGCATATATCTCTCGTATAATAAAAGCCTCCCTAAGGTGCCACATGACATTCTTCTAAACAACCAAAGTCCACGTGTCGTTTTCTACATTTTTCTCAGAAATTTGTTCCCGCCCAAATCATCCCTATAAATTAAACAAAAAATCAGAAAGTCAAAAGTTAATATTTGTTTCAAAAAAAATCTGTATCCATATTAAACGAAAAATTTGTTTCCATATTAAACGAAAAATTCAAACTAAAATATAATCACCTTCCTAGAAAATCGGCAATGTAAATTGGCAATGGTTTTTTAAAATTAAATATGTTTCCCTAAAACGAAAATCTATGTTTCTTATAAAACTTTTACCTCTCGTACCTTCTTTGAAGAATCCACATATTCTCCTACTAATCAGCAATTATTTTTCCATATTATACCTGCATTAAATTTCATTATAATTTTAAAATTTAAATATATCATATATCATAAAAATCATACATTATCATCATCATATCGCATAAAATCAGGAATGGTTTTTTATAAAGTTTATCTGTTTCCGAAAATATCTGCATGATTATACTAATTAAATCATTTAAACGAATTACAATATTCAATCACAATATTGACTTCGGTTGTTTTATTCCGCCTATAAATACAGAACCCCTAAATTCTTTTCAACCATTTGCATTTTCTCATTTGCTTCGTATCTGAACTCTAAAACACTGCAGAGAAGGTAAAGCATCCCAAAACAACTATGCTGAATTTTTTTGTTTATCATTCGTTCGTATTCTTATTGTAATTTTGATTACATCTATATTTTTCTCCTTCTGTTATTTTCTATATATGTTATCTTATACACAAGCTATTCAATTTTTTTTCCTACGTACACACAAAATGAAGAAATCAATACACATGTCCTCCTTATAATAAATACATATAGGAATATGTGTGTTTTGTTAGTCAGGAATTTGAATTTATATATATTTTTCATCAGATTTATATAATTTTGTATTTTTTCAGTTAAATGGTTCAAATGCAATCTGAATTTGAATCATAATAATACCAACATATTGGAATATTTTTGTTAACTTAGTCAGGGCTTTGAATTTACATATATTTTTCACCAAATTTATATAATTTTGTGTTTTTTCAGTTAAATGGCTACTCCCAATGTCACTTTGATTGCTGATGTAGATGTGTTGAGGGACGATTTGACTCTAAAAGTTCGTGTCATCAACTTGTGGAAACATATGTCATTCTACAACAAAGATGAAATTTGTTCCATCGAATCAATATTACTTGATGAATAGGTATTAAACACTCTACATATTAATTATTTCTTACAAATACACATTTAAGTACAATTACTTATATAGTTGATCATATATTACTTTTTTATAGGGGAGCAAGATCCAAGCTACTGTTTGGAAAAAGTTTCCGTATCGATTCAAAAATATATTAAAGGATGGGTCGACTTTTTACATCACGAGTCCAAGTTTTGCATCACAAAAGTCCGGTTGTTTCAAAATAACTCCTCAAGATCAAAAACTAACCTTTGTCCAAAATACTGTTCTCAAAGAATGTGCAGAATTTTCTGGATCCACATTTGGATTTTCATTTGTTGACTATCAGACTGTTCTGTCGTTGCTACATCCTGAAGACATATCTGTTGATTAGTTAATATTTATTATTTTAATTATAAACTAAATATTTAATTGGTTTTACCTATGTTTATCTGTTATATATTATATATTATATCTTTAAATTTCAAAGGGCTCTTCAAATGTTTTTTTTACAGATGTTATTGGATTGGTAGTTGCTATTACTGAGATGATGATGGATGATCCTGAAAAGTCTAAACACAGACTAACCATTCACATCCAAGATGCAAAGTTTGTTGTTCATTTCTTTATATTTGTATTATATTTTATATTAAAACATGACTTTTAAAAACAATTGTTCAATATTCAGTGCTTTGCAACTCTGTGTAAATTTGTGGGGTGATTATGCTTACAAGATGCAAGATTACATAGATAACAATCCACCAAATGAACGTGTCGTTGTTATACTTCAGTTTGCAAAGATTAGTGTTTGGAGAGGTATATTTGTTTTATTAACTAACCAATTTTTACATCTTTGATTATTAAACTGATTATTATTATTTGTGTTATAGATCGTCCGAGTGTTAATACCTACTTTACATCTTCAAAGTTGTTCATTAACTCCGATATCGATGAAATTAGTCTTTTCAAAAAAAGGTAACACGTTTCTATGTACGTGTTAAATATACAAATGTTCATTACAACAATACTTAAAATTATTTCTTTGTGTAATTTACAGTTTAGATGGGGATGATCGTCCTAATTCGTCTTCAAATACAATTTCAGTCATTGAATCTAAACAACTTTCTGAATTAGATGATTTCATAGTTAAAACTAAGCTGAAGACTATTGCTGAGATTTTTGAACCACATTTGGTATTTATTTGAATTTTTTAAACTTGTATATTTATACTTTTTTTTTGTAATTTTTAAAATAAAAAATGTTATAATTAACCAATCATTCATGCAAAAACCCATCTCATTATAGTTGGCACTATAAAGGGAATCTTGCAGAATGAGAAATGGTTCTATCTCGCGTGTACAAACTGCAGTCACAGGCCTTTCCGGATACTGATGCAAAACCAATTTCTTATGAATGTCGTAACCAAAATTGCACAAAAAAAATCAACTACTGTTGTACCGAGGTTGTTACTATAAACTATATTCATCCAAAAACGTTTCTTACTCCATATATATTAATAATATTTTTGATATTTTATATATAATTTTTTGTAGATTTATGATCTCCATACGTGTGCAAGATAATACCGGGACTATTACCTTAACAATGTTTGAAAAAGAAGGAAGGTATCTATTGAAGACATCAGCCAAAGAGTTGTTTAAAAAAGCAACAGAGGTCATTTGAATATTATGCAATCATTATTTAGTTTTATATATGTTCACTTTAACCGGAACGTGTATTTACATTATTATTTGATGCAGATTGGGGACAATACTGATTTCTATCCAGGGGAGATTAATGCATTGAAAGGTTTGAAATTGGCATTCAAGATTTCTGTTACGGATTTCAATGTGTCGAAAAAAAACGAATCAGTATGGTATTTATAGAGTCAGTGACAATGTTGATTTAATTGAACAACTCGAAAATAAGTTTACCGAATCACAGGTAATTAAATTACTAATTATTGTTTTTTGGTTGTTAACTATATATTCTTATAATATTTTTAAAACAATTTTTTTCTTATTTTATGTCTTATGCAGACTGGTATAACACACTCTTTGGATGTTTGTTCGGGAGAATTCGAATCTCAAGATAACAGGCCTTTAAAGGTTACATTCATATTAAATTAGATAAATATGTTATAAAATAATACTTGGATGTAAATAACAATGTTGTAAAACTATTTTCTTTAGGATCAAATTTCAGGAAGAAGTCTTTGAAGTTTTTGAACACAACACCAATTTTGAAACGAAATCTGGAAGAAGTCTTTGATTTGGAATTGAATGAAAACTTATCATCGTCAAAAACAAAGAAAGTATCCCTAGATGGTCCAAGAAAACAGTTGTTGGAGGTAAAGTTGGAAAAAAGTGGCTGAATTTCATTTGGTGGTGAATCGGAAGACAGTGTCCATTTTGGATTTTCATGAACAATTTTCAGTTTTTAATTTGCATGGTGCTTTTTTAACTATCTTGGTTTGATTTAATGCGACATTCTGGTTATTAAGGTTTAAACTTTGGGATTATTTTCTTTTTAAATGGTTTGTTATGCTATATTATGCTAGCATGTTATGAATTAATTTTTTCATATTTTAGACGTGATTTTATTATTGCTTTTCCATTATTGGTACAAAATGTCATGCTACATACTAATATATTTATTGTTTTAATATTCAAAATGAAAAAGTAGTGGTATTTGCTTAACTTTTGGATATCTTTTGTTATTTTTATAGATCAAGGCCTATAATTTGTGTGTTTGTGTTAATGTACTTTGAAAATGCATTGCTATAATTTGTGTGTTTGTGTAAATATACTTCTGTAATACAATGGCTTAATAAGAAAAAGACAAAAATGAAATGTTTTTTTTTGTAAAAAAAATCGATTTATACCAATTATAGCAATATACTTTCAAAGCACATTGTTATAATTTGTGTGTCTTAATATTCCTATACTACAATTGAAAAGTTATTTAACGTGTTCAGAAATTTTCAAAATGTTATTTAAAACCCATAATTCAATTTTTATTTTATCTTTAATGCCTTAAGCCCATAATATATATATATATATATATATATATATATATATATATATATATATAATAATAATAAATTAAAATAAATAGAATGCTTAAAAACAATTTGTAGCCTACTTTCAAATACTCATTTCTCTGTACAGTTTGATCCTCCTATAATAGATGAAAAATTGATTAGGGGGAGGGGTACTCTTTCTGTTGATTTACAAGATTATATTATCATTAATTCTGCATGTGGGTGTGTTAATGTACCTGTGTATGTTTGTGTAACTTTTTTATACAGTGGCTAAGTATGTAACTTATTATAGTAGGACCTGCTATTTTTTTAATTTTTAAATGTTCAAACTTGGGTTTGGTAGCACCCGGTTCATATTTTTCTTGAATATATATGTGTGTTATTTGCAGGTCAAAATTTTGATAATGGAAACCATGGAAGGTGCACTTCAATCCTCTAAAACAGCCCCTGGTCATGTTTGATCCATCACAAATATATTATTAATTTAGAAAATGGTCCATATGGCATTATTATTTTTTTTTACATTTTTTGTTCCTTTATTAATAAAGTACACATTAGATATATAAACATTTTTAAAACAGGAACGTGTTTCTTTGATCATGTTGCTTTCTATGTGTGTCAATATGTATGTAATTAAATTACATATTAGTGTGTTATACCATCTGTGAAACTTCAGATCCTGAACCATCTGTTTTGAGTTACATACCTGTGTGTTATACGGTTTAAATCTAAAGGGGGCATATCAGTTGGTTATATTCTTAAAATTCTGCTTTTTTGGGCAATTTTATGCCATTTTTTGTCTTCAAATCTTGCTGTCAAATAAAAGAAATTGCAATCTAGATTCATTTTTTGTTCTAAACCATTACTTTCAATTTCAAACCACTCACTAGGTACTGATATGAGTTTCTCCTCCATTTTGCACATATATTTAACCCTAATATCTAGCTAATCAATATAAAAATCGCATTCCAATTTCGGAAGGTATATAAAATTATAATTCAATTAATAAATTATTTGCTAACATTAATCGGATGCACAAATTTAACCCTAAAATCTTGGAAATTCAAATTTCAAAATTTCAAACTATTACGCACAAAGTATGAAAATCATACTTTCAGAAAATTGAAAGTTACCTGATTGTGTCTTCGCTCTTGACGTATTTCGAGTTACTCATACCATTTCAGTTTTCGATAACTTCTTCATAAGAATCAAATTTCTGCCAAAAACAATCAGGTACAATTTCTTTCAACTAATCTATGTTCTATTAAGAAAACAATCGTTAACAAAAATTTACATCTTACCTTCAATTGTCGCATCTTCATACCATATTCATTCGTACATTTAATTGTAAAATCGGTATAAGCTTCTACTACCTTCAAATTTGATTCGATGATTGTATATTCCTATCTTCCTTCACGATAGCAATGGACAAACTTCCATATCTTTCTTAAATGAATGTCTTCGAAATGTTAATCTTCATTGCGGAGATATAAATTTCGATATTTGATTGTTCTAGGTCTCTGTTTCTATTACAACAAAAGGGAAAAATGGGGTTTATTACTAATAGATGATTATCCTCTACGTGGGAGAATAGGGGTTATTACTTGTGTGAATCCTTCAATAATATTTTTCTAATTTTTTTATATCAATAATATTTATATAATTTGGATTGGTATGTATCCCATTTATTATTGAAATAATTATAGTTTAAATAATTACCTAAGAATTTATATTGATATGTCGTAATTATTAAATTCTAATTTAAATTGACATAATCTATTTAAATTGCCATTTTATATATCATGCTCCACAATTTAATAAATAAATGTGATTTATATATAATTATGTAATTTTATGATTTAGAAATATCATTTATATCCTATTTGGTTAGTATTCAATTCGTCAAGTGAAGTTTATACAAATTATATAAGCTACCAATCGATGTAACATTTACTATCAAATTATTAATTTTATTTTTCACTATACTTTTTTATTTTTATTATATATCAAACAAGAACATGAATGCAGTGGACGTTAGAGAGAGAAGAAGAAACAGAAAATTATATTTGGATAACAGAAAATCCAAAAAACGTTGTACTACATCATCATCTCATCGTACACCTACTAGACATTAGGCCTGGCAATTGGGTTGGGTTCGGGTTGACGGGTCACGGGTTCGTGGGTTGGCGGGTTAGAATACATTGACCCAACCCAACCCATATAATATATGGGTTGATGGGTTGGCGGGTCACGGGTTAGCGAGTTGAAAACATCAACCCAATCCAACCCATATAACTCGTATAAATATATGGGTTCGTGGGTCAGTGGGTCAAACCCAACCCGTATAAGCAATTTAATAAGCAATACATTTTAAAATGAAATTGAAAAATACAAATAAAATGAAGTTATAAAGTCTTAAACATTCAACATAAAGTCATAAACATAAAGTCATAAAATTGTAAATAAACACATTAATGCAAAGTGCAATAGTTCAAACATATCCAAAAATCAAATGCGATAATTTGTTCATGCTACAATTTCCATTTCTTCTTCCAACATCGACTTCTTCAAGATCACCTTCAAATAGAAACAATATGCAAAATTAAATTTATGATATTTTAAAAGCTACATAAATAATTATAAAAAGAAAGAAAAAAACTCACCAAATGACCACCTAAAGTATGTTGGAATTTGTAGCCTCCGTATTGTCTTCGTTGATGTTCAAATTCATTACATTTTGGGTTAGGTTGTCAACAGCCACATTCAAATCAACTACACAATGAATAGAAAAAAAAAGAAAAATTAATACAAAATTTTAGTTAATATGAATAAATTATGAAATATTACCTTTTTCTCCAAACAACCAATCCCTAGTACAAACCAAAGCTTCAACCACATCAGGCTTCATGGAACTTCGATATTCATTCAGAATTCTTCCACCAAGACTAAAAGCCGATTCAGATGCTACTGTTGAAACGGGAACACAAAGTATATCCATAGCTAATTTAGCTAATTCTGGATATCTATATTGTTGGGCTTTCCAAAAGTCAAGCATTTTAACAGAAGAAGTTCTTTTAGCTCTTGGCTCAAGAAGGTATACATGCAATTGACTTGTGGTATTGGAACCCGAATCATCATTATCATATTCGTCAAACTCCTATAATTAAAAATAATATATATAAACCAATTAGTAATTTAGTATATTTAAAAACTAAACTATAAAAGTGAATTTAATGATAATTAAAAATTGTGATTTACCTCAAGAATGTTGTTTTGACTAGAATCTCCCCCAACATTACTTTGTCTAATGTTTTCATTGCTCCCTTGATGTGATGTCGATTCGAATGTGGTTGCATTTTTTGAAGCTTGCACATATTCATCATAAAGTTCATAAAGGGCACTCTCAATAGCCTTAAATTGTGATGAACCTTCTCCATAAAGTTTTTTATAGCAAAAGTCAACAAATGTTAACTTATATCTAGGATCAAACACCACGGCTATAGCTAACAGAAGATTAAAATCAGCCCAATATTTGTTGAACTTATTCCACATTTGAGTAGCTATTTTATTCATATACTCATCCGGACTTTTCTTCTCTTCAACCAACTTCAAATGTATTCCAAAGATCTGAGGGAAATACAAATTTGAAGTAGGATAAAGAGATCCTGAGAATTGAAGAGTCGCATCATAAAACACTTTCAGAAAGCTACACATTTTCTCAACTCTTTCCCATTCATCAGAGGATGGACAATCTTGAAAGTTAGAATCACTCAAACTAAGATGCGAAAACGCTAGTCGATAATAAAGTGCACAAGAAAGCATCCTATAAGTGGAATTCCACCTAGTAGGAACATCTTGCATCAAAGCTTTATTGGTGTCCAAAAGATTTTGTGAGCAACATTGAAAAAACCTTGTTTTTCTTGCTGACGATCCTTTGACATATTTCACACATTCTCTAACTTTTTCCACAGCAACATCAATTTGTTTCAACCCATCTTGAACAATCAAATTAAGAATATGGGCACAACATCTCAAATGAAATAACTTACCATCATATACTAAAGCATTCATCAAACGAAATTGATTCTTAAGCAATCCAACGCAAACATCATTGGAGGAAGCATTATCCAAAGTGATAGAAAACAGCTTCCTTTCAATTCCCTAACTTTTTATTAACCCACTAATCTTTTCCGCAATAGCAACACCGGTATGTGGAGGAGGAAATTCAGAAAAATTTAAAATCCTCTTCTGTAAGACCCAATTGCTATCAACATAATGGGCAGTCAAACTCAAATAACCATCTGTAACAATAGATGTCCAAGCATCAGAAGTCAAATATATTCTACTTGGACATTTAAGCAACTCGCCACGAAGTCTATCACACTGACTTGTATATAACTTTTTGACATCTGCCTTTGCTGTGTTCCTACAAATATGACTGGCATTTGGTTCCAAGTATTTGCAAATATTTCTAATTCCTTCATATTCAACGAAGGAGAATGGCAAGTCATGTCTAACAACAGCTTCAATCAACAATTCCCTAAGTCTTTCCTGACTAAACTTTGGAGTTCTCATATTCATTACACCTTTGCTAGAAGAAATCATATATTGACCAATTTCTCTAGTATTATTATTTTCACATTTGGTTCGATGGCGAATTAGATTACCGGTACCGCAAGCACTTCCTGCTTGATATTTTTTACCACATTTGTTGCAAACACAATATAGGATTTCATCTGGTGTTTTTCTAGGTAATTTAGTAAAACTTTTCCAAACATCAGAACTTGTTGTCCTTGTTTTCCTTTTCTTTGTAGAAGTACTTTCAACTCCTTGAGAGTCATTTGGTGCTGCAACTTCTTTAACTGAATCATCACTCTCACTTTCTTCATTGTTACCCTCCACATTATTGTCAACAGTGATATCTTCATTATCCATAACTTACTAGAAAACCCCAAAAGAAATCATCAATTATCTAACAGGTTAGAAGCAAAGCAATTAAAAAAAATACAACTTCTGATTAGTGATCAATATGAAAGCATCACAAAAAAAAAAAAAAAAAAAAACAATGGGTAACAAGTTCTGATCAGTGATCGGTACATGATTTCTGCTAGCAACAGGTCAAGGCTCGGACTTGCTTTGTTCGAGTCTTAGAGATTTATGCAATAATCAAACAAATCCCGATTATTGTCTCAATCATTCAATCATTTATTGATTAGAAGAAGAGACGAACACAAGGTAGCAGCGGAAGACGAATCAAGGCTTAGAGATTTTCTGTGTTCAACTTCGAGGCTTAGAGATTATTGTCTAACAAGACTTGCTGCTAGCAATCGGATTTTCTGTGTTCGACTTCGAGGCTTAGAGATTTAGGTTGTCACAATGTTACTTACCGGAAGAATCGAGGATGGAGGTGGGTTAGCGACTTAGCGTCGGACAACGTCGGTACTCGGTAGTAGCGGAAGAC